TAATCCTTTTTTTTCTACTAGGAGCTAATAATAAAAGGAAATAAAAACTACATTAAACCTGGAAAGTAAAATAACTAGTTAATATCACAGATAAGAGAGGTTATCTCATTAGAACGGGAAATAACCTGTTATTAGTGAGAAATATGAGATGTCGTTTACTTCTATTCAAGAATTATTTTATAAGAAAAGCTATTCTAGATCCTATCAATAACCTATCGTACTTGAGTATTATCGCGTACGTGACCACAAATCAATATAAGTTTACTTGAGTATTATTGCGCATTTGACCGCAAATCAACACAAGTTTTGAGGTCGATTCGTGATACTTTAGTTAGTATCGTATTTTGTGTCTTGAATAGAATGGAGAGTCCGATCTTGATGATATTGCGTTATTTGCATCAAAATTTATTTTCTAATCATGGTTTGAGGCAGCAAAATTAGTCTTAACAAGGATTGAGTTTATTACTCATACATGGGCACGACGAATCGTTAGTATTCAATGAGAGAAAATATAAGTCCGTTGAAGAGCAAAAAAACATACATTGACATTTAATGAAGTAATGATTCATAAAATCTAATTTTATGATACAAATTAACATATCGTAATTGCATTGCAAATGCTATTATTTAATATCGTTATTTATCATTTATGTAAAATGATGCTATCTTACATACAATAAGACTTACATGCTATTTTGCATACAATAATACTTGTGTGCACCAAACCAATAAGTTATCATAATGTTTTTTTCCTTATAATTGACTTGTGGCGAGGAGCCAAACATTTCACATATTAAATTTTTGAACCTACAATATATGTTTTAGTTGCTCCACCACAACACACAAAGATGAGTATTCAAAGAAGGTTGGGATATATATAAGATATGAATCCCCTTACATTATTAAATATCTGGGAGTCATAACTATAGATTTGTTTTCAATAAGATTTGATGATGACATTTTGGTGAGTCATTTTTTTCAAACATTAGAAGAAGAAATAATACAGTTGGATAAAGAGATAAATTGAGATGTACTATCACTTTCTCATTCTTGTACATCAATGTGATCTTAGAGTTTTTTTACCAAATATTACAAATCAACGATCTCAAATACATTTACTAACTTACCAAAGGTTACTAAATCTCATATTCCAGTTATGAATGCTCATATTCGATTTGATGTTCCGATAGGACAACCTATTATTGTAAATAAGTTCGAGTCATGTGTAAGTATAATAAATCAATAGATTCCAAGGTTTAGAATCTTCGAAAAAGGAAAAGAGCAAATGATCATAATATAAAGGTACGGACCGATGAAAAGTTTCGAAACATAATAATTATAATTGATGAAACCTCTAAAGAGGTGCAAATACCTAATAAGGTAATCACTTACTAAAGAATTAATAAGGTGATTAAAGTCCAAATTATATGTGCTTTTACAGTAGCCATTTAAGGTGGGATATTAAGAGGCAATTGTTTCTTTTAAGTAATAAATTTTGGACAGGACTAGTTTTTGACATTCTAATAACAAAGATATATATAGAATGAAGGCAACTTCATAAAATTTGTGTGAGCCGAGTGTAATTTCTGTTCAAGCAACTAGAAAGAGAAGATATTTGAGATTAGAATATCTTCTTGGCATCATTAAATCAGTGTTCACTATTCAATATCCAACAACATATGCCTTTGAATGACAAGCAACCTCTCAAACTTGAAGAATACCCTATTTTATGCAAGTTTTTCAACACCTACTTTTCCGGGGAAATGAGTGGCAGAGCAGCATACCGGAAAAAAAAAACAAGAAATAGGAACAAAGTAACTCGACCAGAGAGAGATGTCGGTATTACAAGCGAGCTGGACTAGCTGATTGCAGCTCTCACATCCTTGTACTTCCCCCTCAAAATGAAGAAATATTTGTAAGTAAACAATGATTTATCACTTCCATCATTCGTAAATTCACTTCCATCATTCTTCAAACAATATAATGTTGTTCCCTTTTGCTATAAGGATAGCTTCTCCACAAGTTTTGTGATTGACATGAACTTATAAGTAATGTATCCATTATTTCCTTCAAAGTTCAGTTTTTTTTTTCATTCTGCAATTTCATTAAATTGAGGTCAATAGGGCAGTAGTTTGATCGATAATTCCACTTTCCAAACACATTTATGCAAAAGGAGATTTATACTCTCTTCCCTATCACTTCTTATCTTTTTCCCAATTGATTTTCAACTTTAATATTATATTGTCTAGACATTTTTATACTTCATCCTGGCGATTCAACAAATAAACGTTATCGTATCTAATGCAATTGTCAATAAATTTATGAGAAATTTTTTTCCACCACGAGATAGTGTTGACTTCATATCACAAAATGGCAGTCTGAATCAACTCAAGGGATTAGAACTCTTTTCAACAAATTTATAAGAATGCTTAGCATACTTAAATTCAACACAGACTTAACATTTTTATTTATTGCACTCAAAGTTGGACAAAACTTTCAAGTTGATCAGTTTTCCTTGCAAGCTTTTGCAATTGACATGTCCCAAGTGTTCATGTCACAAACAGTTTGACTCAAACAAGTAAAAACAAATAAAATTATTGAGTTTGAAAAGCTCTCCGTGAGGTAGCTTTTTTTTTTTTCCAAATATTTTGTTCCTACTTATTACAATTTTGTCTAATACAAATATTGTTTAGAGTTAGCACCTTGTCAAATGTCCTTTTCAGAAGGATTTTTTCATAACTTTCAATTTGATTATTATAGAACCATCCATGAACATAGTCTCATCGGGTCTAATAAAGGCAATATAATCCAAATGCTTCTTTTACAAAACATGACAAATGACTATTCACCAATATTCATATCTATACAAATAGTTATATTTTAATAGACACATATTTTCATGAAAAATCACAACAATTTAAGTGACACTCTTACATAAAAGAAAACAATTATTTTGAACAAGTATAAATATATATATATATATATATATATATATATATATATATATAATTTGATGGTTTCATACCATACCATATACTAGTAAAAGAGAAACTCAACGACCACAATATCAAATATACTCCAAGAATTTTGTGGGTCTAACATAATACAAAAGTTTATTGAATTTCATATCTTCTGCTCCAAATTTATATTAGACACTAGGTCAAATTTTATCTTTATCATAAGCAAAGAATCCCTACATTTTAAATATGATCTCAAAAATATTTTTCAAATATTTGAAAATAATTGTTCCACATATTTTTCCCATACTATCAAAATGTCAGTGGCAATATGAAATCTCTTTTGAAAATATTGTTCTACAAAAGAATTATAGTGATTCAATTCCCTTTGACAATCTTTACACAATGTCAAAGTTCATTCCATAGAAACACCTATTGCAGGCACAAAATCACTAACTTTAAGTCGCTGGTCTTTTTTGCTATCACAATCAGACATACCACAAATAAAGACCAATTTTTTTGTACAATTTGTTTCTATTTAACAATGAAGTTTTATATATTCTTCAAATCGTCAACCGAATGAACTTTGCATGTGGATGAAGTTTTTATGACTTCAAATCAGTTTCAAATTCAAACGGAAGAGAAACTCAAAAGTACAACACTTACTTATTATGTGAAGTTTTCATATTCTTCAAACCAATTGCACAATCTAATTTATCCAAAGTAGAAAACTACAAAAGTTTTTAGTCTATAAAAATCAGACATAATCAAATTTAACACGGAGTAGAAAACTATAAAAAAAATTTAAGTCTCCAAACAGAATAAAACATACTCTTAGATTATCAATAGATATGTTTTTATTTTCAAATAGCCTTCCAACTATAACATTTTGACATACTATCTTACCAAACCAAAATATACATATCTCATTCTGCAAACTAAATTTTTTTAAAGGCAACACTATTTGCCAAAGAAAATTCATTCAAAAACCATATGGTTTGCAAATCTTTTTCCAAAGACACACATGATAAATATCAAAAGAGTTAACTTTTAGAAACTATTTTCCACCTTAGATATAAATAATAAGAAGGTTACCTGGTGTAATCTTTAACCGCAATACCATCAATTTTTTCGGTACATTCTCACTTCAACCCTTCTAAACAAGGCATCAAAATCTGGAGAAGTAGTTCATTAATCTTCTACTTCCATGTTCTGTTTTTCTCAATCAGTAGAATACAAGAAATACCAACAATATAATAATTTCCTTAAGATTGTTGTCCATTTTGTATTCCTAAGATACTTAAAAACAAAGACTATGAAGAACTTGATAAGAAGCAACAAAGTTTAAAGAATATTTTCAAAACTAAAAAAACTAAAACCACTAGAGAAAATAGAACTAGAAAATGATTAGAATCAATATACAAAATATTTTTCTCAAAGAATAAAATCGAGTCTACTGAATGCACAATATCCCCTTAAGGAAATTATTTCCCTCAAGTACCCAAGGTTAATGAAATATATCCTCACAAGATAGAACGATTTTACTCACCAGTGTATCGGTACCTATAACCACGATGTCAGTGAACCACTCAACGACACTAAAGTACACTTAGAATACTAGATTTAGTAGAAGTAGTAGTAGAAGTCCAAAAATTCGTTCTTTTAAAATGAGAGAAAATCTCTCTAATTATAGACAACAAAAAATAGTGCACAAAGGAGCTTATTATGCTTTACCGAAAATGTCACAACCTTTTAAAAAAGTCACAATCCAACCTAATCAAAACCATTTTGCTTTTCACAATCACAAAGAGCTAAAATGCATAAAATTCAGAGCCCCAAAACAAACAAAACAGGAAGTTGACATTCAAATTAATTTGACCAACCCATGTCATTACAACAAAGCAACCTCCTCTCTAGGGAAGGAAACCACATCCTAACACCATTTATTTGATTAATTTTTGAAGGCTAAACTACAAGCAAACTGTTAAAGCTAAGACAAAGCAGCGATGAATTAGGCAAACACTTAGTGCCTAATCAAGAACATCAAAGAGTTTCTTTTGAAAACCTCCTTGTAGTTGTAGTTGTGGCACCAGGAGAAGTCGAATTCGAACTCGAACTCGGAGCCATGACTGAAACACCATCACCTAACTTGTTTCCATTCCCAGCACTTTTTGACACACATGAGCTGCTCAATTTAAGCTCACCAGCACCAACAGCATTGACATTGATCAATGGGCTGGCCCATAAATGAGGCCCAACAACAGGTGGCAGCATATAGTACCCATTGCCCACTGGCCAAACAGGAACAACACCTTTTGGGGCAATAGGAGCAACAGGTGCAAATTTTGACTTCTCATGCACGTCATAAAATTCGCTATTAAAAAGCCCTTTTCCTCATCCTCACGAAGCTTTCTCCCTCGTTAATTGTCGCTGGTATTTTAAACATTCCGTTAACTTGTATAGCATTGGTCGGAATCGTACCAGTTCCAGTGGCAGCAATGATCGCTGGCTCAGCATGTTCCAGAATCCATTTTAGAGTCTCAGCTTCAGACTTATGTCCCAATTCCTGCCTTAATTGGAAGATTCTAGCAGCACAGATCGGTGATAGACGGACTCTCGTACCACGTCCATCCACTTTCGTGTGCTTGTACTTTGCTCGTTTTTTCACCACCTGAGATAAGTCCGCTGCAATGACGGATTCATGAGAATCGCCAAGTAACGGATCAGCACCTAAAACCTTCTTCCCGTCAACTTTTTGTTTGTTCTGATCAACATTGACCATTTTGCAGAAAAATCCAAACTAGCTGAAATCCAAAGAAACAAAAATGGTTACAACCTCACAAAATTAAACACGCAAAAGGCGTGAAAAACGAAGATAAACATTTGCAAATGGTGTGCTTCTGAGTGATGCAAAATCAGAAAAAAAGTGAAGCGATTGATTAGAATTCAGAAAGAAATTCATTGTTGTTATCATCATCGTCATCGTTTGTTCTAATTGTTGTACAGTGAAAAAGGAGCATGTCACATGAAAAAAATTCTTGTCACCGTTTGTTCTAATGGTTGAAGGATAGTTTGGTATAGTGAAAAAGAGTGCATTTGACATGAAAAGAAAAAAAAAAAGAACAGTAAAGAAGAAAACTTACAGAGGAGGATAAAAGACCTTAGGGGAAATGGATCCCCACTTTGATGTTGTGGGTTGTATATATACAAGGATAATGAGGAAGTGCCCTCTTGCCAAAGCCTTATAAAAGATTATTATTATAGTCGTCTTTTAAGGAAAGAAAATGAAGTCATTTAATTTATGAAAGCATATTATTAAAGTTTTTCCTGTTTAGGACAATAGTCACTTAATTTATGAAAATATATTATAATTTTTTTTCAAAGTTAATAATATCAGTCAACATACCAAGATATTTCATAAAGTATCTTTTATTGATTTTAAAAAAACAAAATCATCCAACTATCGTCTTTTAATTAGAAAATATGTCACATATATATGTTGTTTGTTAATAATAAAATGTATTTAACCCGTGACACTACTTATCTAATTCACCCAAATAGAGAAGAAAAGCTATTTTAAAAGTTCTCAAGTCTATTTTCCTATGATGTACACATGAAATCACTGAACTTTTTTTTTATAATGTCATTGATGTACGTCAATTTTTTTTTTTACAAATATAAATTTAGTTAATTATAAAATAGGATTAAAAACAAGTAAATTAGGGCTAATCCATTTTTTTTAACTAAGAGCTAATAATAAAAGGAAATAAAAACTACATTAAACCTTGAAAGTAAAATAACTAGTTAATATCAAAGATAAGAGCGGGATTATCTCATTAGAACGGGAAATAACTTGTTATTATTGAAAAAGATGATGTGTCGTTTACTTATATCCAAGAATTTATTTATAAGAAAAGCTATTCTAGATCCTATCAATAACCTATCCTAGATTATACTTGAGTATTATTGCGCGCGTGACCACAAATCAATACAAGTAAACTTGAGTATTATTGCGCGCTTGACCGCAAATCAACACAAGTTTTGAGATTGATTCGTGATAGTTTAGTTAACATCGTATGTTGTGCCTTGGATAAAATGGAGAGTCCGATCTTGATGATATTGCCTTATTTACACCAAAATTTCTTTTCTAATCACGATTTGAGGCAACAAAATTAGACTTAACTAGGATTGAGTTTATTACTCATACATTGGCACGACGAATCGTTAGTGTTCGATGAGACAAAATATAAGTCAGATGAAGAGCAAAAAAACATATATTGACATTTAATGAAGTAATGATTCATAAAATCTAATTTTATGATACAATTAACATATCATAATTGCATTGCTATTTTGCATACAATAATACTTGTGTGCATCAAACCAACAAGTTATCATAAAGTTTTTTTCCCTTATAACTGATTTGTGGCGAGGAGCCAAACATTTCACATATTAAATTTTTTGAACCTATAGTATATAATTTGCTCCACCACAACACACAACGATGGGTATTCAAAGAAGGTTGAGATATATATAAGGTATGAATCTCCTTTCATTATTAAATATCTTGGAGTTATAATTATAGATTTTTTTTTATATAGAAGAGCCACGAGAAGGACGACCAATAGCAGTTTAGTAATTTTAACATCATTTAAGGGAAAAGAAATAATTGTATAATGAATGGTCAAAATAAAAATCTAGAAGAATCTATACATTCTATACTTTTGTTTAATTAATGGTCAAAAACTCAAAATAACAATCTAGAATGGCCCATAAGGATATTTTTGTAATTGTGTTAAAATAAGGAGTTTCTATTGGTTAACTTTGACAAACAACAATTAATGCTAAGCTTTGTTTTAACATATTTTAGAAAGAAAGTTTTGAACTAATTTAAAATATAATGTGTTTGAATAGTTAATATTTTGTTCCTAAAAATACTTTTAAGGATTATTTGCGTAAGCATATTTTTAATATTCTGTTACATAATATGACCACAACTAAAGTTCATATCTTGATTATTAAAAGAATATAACAAATTTCGTGATTAAAAGAAAAAATAATGTTTGACTATCAAGAAATTAATAACTTCATAATATATTCATTGAAAGATTTAAAAATATTAATTTCTCATTTCTATGTAGGACATTTTCTTAATATCAAATATGATTAATTATTTAATAGAAAAATTCGAAAAAAATTCTTATTCAAATTCTAAGGAATATTAAAATACAAACTAAAGAAAATTGAGCAATTAAAAAATAAAGAAGAACAATAAAAGAAAATGTCAATAGAAAAAGACTTTGTTGAAAAATATAAAGGAAGAAAAAAACTACAAAATAAATAAATTAGGGAAAAACAACCTGAAAAGAAAAATTAAGTGTATTGGTTTTGTGGGGGGTAAGATTCAAAGTTTTCTTTTACGGCATGATATTTAGAATTTAGTATAAAAAACTTTTATTAATGTAATTTAATATTTAACATTAAGATAATTGTTATTATACATAGAAATAAAGTTGCTTTTATGATTGTTTTTATTGTTGTGGAGTTAGAAAGCAATTTTTTAATAAATACTTTCACTATTAAAATCAAAATGAGTATAAGTATTTTTATTTATCAAAGACAATAATAAAATGTATTATAAAATTCATCGACAAAGCAAACTACAAACACATTATACTTAAGCTGAAGAAATAGAGATTTGAAAGGCCTTGAATCGATCTTTACGAATTGATTGATCAATAATTATTATTTTATCAGGTACAAAACTTATGGTGCAAATATTACAAAAAGAAGATAACAACATTGTGGAAAATAGATACCACTTACAAAAATATTTGAAGATCAATGAACCTTTTCAAAGATATCAATGTTTTATATATTCCTGAAACACGATATTTGTACTTGGCCTTATGTTATTTCCTTCAATAATAGCTTCTAAACACATGTAATACATGTGGGCTCGTTCTTTTTATATCATTCCAATCTTATTATCTATTGTAAATTTAAAATGCTTAACCATTATCAACTTCATTCATATTTTGTCCGTCCTATTTGTTATTCAATCTTCACTATATTTTGTATCTGCCCTATATTCAGTCCTCACATTTAAAATCAAGTTAGCATTTTCAATACAATTTTCAAGATGTATTTAATTATAGAAATCATATTTTTGGTAATTTTAAAACTTAAAAGTTTAATTTTTTTTAAACAGTAAAATATTATTTTTATTATTCCAAACATTTTTAAATACTTATCAAAGTTTTCTTTTTAAAATTCAAATGATGCAAATTTTGAGAAAATTACCAACAATTCTCAACACTACTATCCTTTTGTCTCAAATAACTAAATAAGAAGGGGAAATAATTTCTTTTTAAGCAAATTATCTCTTTTTTGAAATATTAATAAATTTCATAAACATACTATACTGACAAATTTAAGTTTCACAAGCTTTATATCCAACCAAATATAATAATATAAATTTTCTTATTTGAGCATAATTTTTATTTCTAAATTATTTTATATGTAACTATATAGTTCATGAAAAAAGTTTATTAAAAAATTTAGCAATTGGACCTAGACCGAAAACTTACGAACATAGCTTATGATTTGAAATTATATGTAATATCTTTCACTTGAGACATAAATGACACAATTTTTTTTAAAATATGAATCATCTCACCATGATATAAAAAAAAGTAAAAATATTATTCCAAAACAAATATTTTCATCTTTAAGATATATAAATGTAATTTTACCCAATTTTTTGTTATTTTGTTACAAACAAAAAAATTGAACGGTTAGTGGTTTTGCGAGTTAGATATAGTATTTTAATATTATTTAATAAAATCACTTTATGACTTGACTTTATATATTAATAGCACAATTAACTTGTCAGTAAATTTCATTTTGATATTCAAACTACGACCTATTCTGATGGAGCAACTAGACACATGATATAGTATTCCTATAAAACATTTTTTGTTCAAATTTTGAAAAAAAAAATTGTGCGCGTGGTTACAAACTTCTATTAGATAATTATGTCAATCACATAAAACATGTCATTTCATTTAATTATCTACATCCACCCAATTGAAACATGCTTTAGGTTTACCACTTTTGAATATGAGTCAAATGCATATAATTAAAGGAGATGACATATTTTATATCCAACATATGTTTGTTATTTAATTCAACGTTTGTGTATGACATAATGCTAAAATGAAAATTAGATTATGTAAGTTTTTTAAGTTAGTTGTGATAACTTATATTAAAAGTTACAAGTTATTTTTTTAATTTAATAGAAATAAAAATAATACTTTTGAGTGTAATGCCCATTATTACCCTTTATTGTATATACATGAAAATATTTGAAAATTAATTTATTGTTTAAGAATATACTTGTTTACATACAAATACAATTTAAGACTGTAATGCTGAGTCCGTTAATGAGCCTTTTCATATCTAGTGTTTTTCCAATGAGATTTGATGATTGACATTTTGGTGAATCATTTTTTTCAACATTAGAGGAAGGAAAAAAGCAATCGGATAAAGAGATAAATTGAGATATATTATCACTCTCTCATCCTTGTACGTCAATGTGATCCAGAGGTTCACAAGATAATTAATTTATAAAATATTACAAATCAACGATCTCAAATACATCTACTAACTTACCAAAGGTTACTAAATTTCATATTCCAATTGTGAATGCTCATATTCGATAGGACAATCTATTATTGTCAAGTCATGTCTAAAGCGTAATAAATCAATTGATTCCAAAGATTAAAATCTTCGAAAAAGAAAAAGAATAAATGATCATAATATAAAGATAAGGATCAATGAGAAGTCCCGAAACATTATAATTGATGAAACCTCTAGAGAGGTACAAATACCTGATAAGGTAATCACTTCCTAAAAAGAATTAATAAGGTGATTAAACTCCAAATTCTATGTGCTTTTACAGCAGCCATTTAAGGTGGGGTATTAATTAAGAGGCAATTGTTTCTTTAAAGTAATTTTGGAGAGGACCAACTTTTGACATTCTAATAACAAAGATATAGAATGAAGGCAAAAGGAAAGCAAGTGTAATAGATCTTTCATAAAATTTGTGTGAGCTTGAGTGTAATTACTGTTCAAGTAACTAGAAAGAGAAGATATTTGAGATTAGAATTTCTTCTTGGCACCATTAAGTCAGTGCACACAATTCAGTAGCTTCAACATCCAACAACATATGCCTTTGAATGACAAGCCACCTCTCAAACTTGAAGAATACACTATTTTATGCAAGTTTTTCAACACTTACTTTTCCGTCTTAAGAATTGTCATTCACTATAGTCCTGTAATTCAATTGCATATCATACATTTTTCGTTAATCTTTTCCGGGGAAATGAGTGGCAGAGAGATATGTCGGTCTTACAAGCGAGCTGAAATATTTACTCAGATAAGCTTGCTGGACTAACTGATTGCAGCTCTCACATCCTTGTACTTCCCCCTGAAAATGAAGAAATATCTGCAAGCATCAGTGAAACTTTCTTGAATTGGAATTGCTCTCTTGAAAACGAACATATTGGTAAAGCCCCGTGCTTCATGAAGTGCAGTGCAGGTGGTCTCTTGCAAGCAAATATAGTGGTAAAAGCCTGTGGAGACATCCATCACGAGTACTACTAGTTCTGTTTTGTTGTCATCAATATCGTTGGTGCCTCTGATTTTTAAACAGACGAAAGCACAAGATTGACAAAGGTACTTTCTCATCCACCCAAACCCCTGTAACATGAATCTTCGATGCTACCATTCAAGAGCAAAAAAGCCTGGAGAACAAATAACCATGACAACCCTGGATAGTATCAAGCAAAGGATTAGTCTGACATGCTTCCTCTACAGGACGGTTCATCCATTTCTTTGATAATTCTTCTGCATTTGCAGCAAGCTGATGCTGCAAGACAGCTGCACCTAGCGGTCCAACCAAATTGAGCCTTGTTGCAGCAGATACAACATCTCTCATCGTTATAAACAAGTAAGTCTTTTGAGAAGTTTCAGCATTCAATCCAAGAACCCCACAGACAAGTCCAAAAATAGGAGCATGGTGGAAACGGACAGCTCCGCTAGCCAAAGACATTTCTCGCATAGTTTTAAAATAAGGAACTTCCTGGAACACAGCAGCAGCCACTCTCAAAAGTGCCGATCCTTGTGAAATAGATGCTTTCCTACTAACTTCATTTGTCAGTGTTGCATCCAATATTTTATCAAGTTTATACCATGTTTCAACATTAGGAGATGTATTCAAAGTATAGACAAAAGGAAGCAATAGGCTTCCTGTATTCTCTAGTAAATGGATCACAAATGTTCGAAGATCTTCAGGCCCAGAGACTAACCGGGATTGAATAGCAGCCTCAACGCCAAAGGAATGAGCAAAGCCACCAGTAGGAAGAACAGAATCAAGCAACTGCCATTGGCTCCACTGAAGCAATTCATTCGGTGTGAATTGGAGACAACCCTCAATCTTCTCTTCTACATCCTCCATATTTTAAGGCCTGAACAAGTCATAAACAGGACAGAGTAAACCAAACAGGACGAAACAACAATACCGTAGTTCTTAAAGAATTTTATCTCTGGGAACAATATAAAATAGTTGGATCAGATTCTAGCTGACAACCTTATGTCTTAGCAAGTGAAAGAGATAATATATATCCTGACAGATTTAATTCATCCACAATCTTAGAATCTATGACCAACTAATGGTTTTCGTTTTACCCACTGGCTTAAAAAGGCAAATACTAGATATAAACTTGATAGCCTAGCCTAGCCTAGCTTCTCTCTCTCTATTATATGTAATCATCACAAGAACAAATCCAGTTTGTTAGGCATCAAACCTATTCTAAGCTGTCTTTTTTGTTTATGATATCTATTCTTAGAACTATCACTACTAGAAACAAATATGCAAATCAATGAGAAATTTGTGCTATAGATGGTGTTTTTCCCACTCATTTCCCACCAAACAACTCAATCGGAAATACAAGGTGGGAAACAATTCTCTCTGTCAAAAACTTCCTAAAAATTGATGATTGCAATAGACAATAAATTCATATTTATAAATGAAGTTTCAATTATGATATACTCTAGCATTGAATAGACTAAATATCACAAATTCAAATTTCTACTATTAAATTTGGCGAATCCTGAGATTCAAGGGAAGTAGAGAGAGAAAAAAGAAAAGATACTTACAAATCGAAAATGGATAAAAAGAGAAGATCCCAAATGCAGAATCCATAAGTCTACCCCAAATGGGGAAAGCGGAAATAATAGGGCCAATTTGGAGAAAAATTCCAAAATAGTCCCTTAACTTTCAATTTACATACAAAATCATCCCTACTTTTTGGCATAAAGTAGTAGTGGTCCTTATTGTTTCACAAATTGATCATTTTTTATCCCGTTTAAACGACTGTCTTAAACTGAACACCCACTCTGCCAAATCTCGAACCTTTTTGTCACTTGTTGTAAAATTTCACGTCACATTAACATGTTCGTAATCTCTTAATTCCTTCTTTTTCTGCCTGCAGTATTTTCAATTAAATATACGTCGTCTAGGTGAAATAGATGTAAGTCGTAAATCAATTTTGTAGAGATAATTTAATAATTTTTTTATCGAGTCATAAGCTATATCAAACTTAATGTTTTGATAGTTCGCAAACGTAATATTTATTAAATAAGAATTAGACTTTTAGCATGTCTTAAATAAGAAAAGCGATAATGATTATAACTGACAAACAACTACTTAAGAGGGAAGAATTGGCCTATAAAAGTTCTATGTATGAAGTGAAGAAATAGGATTCTTCGTCGTGATTTGAAATTGTATATACTTAACTTAAAACACATTAGGATCTTCAATATGGCAATTTTACAAGAAGATGTTATAAAAAAAATACATCTTAAGTGGATCATAGAGGAGCGAAAGCGTAAGTTAAAACACTAATTTCTAACTTTTGATCTACTTTTACATTATCACAACTGTTAGAATATGCACAACGGAAGCATTATTCAAGATCACAAACAAACATAATAGCATAATAATGTAAACTGAATAACTTGTGAAACTCTAACCTTTTGAAGCTTTCACACAACTCGTTCAGGATCTGGGACTCTAGGATTGCAGCCTTCAACTAATTCCTGACTAACTCTCTCAATCAAGTTTTGTGTGGGCAAATATTTTTTTAGAAAAATGATGATTTTTCCTTGAGAACCACCACCCCTATTTATACTTTTCATCAGAGGGGAAGGTTTGAAAGATGAAATGTCTCTAGTCATAATTAATAGTCATTAGCAGTCATTAAATGCCATTAAGTGTATTTAGGCACGTATTCAACAACCATGATCAATAGCTATCAACAACCATTAAATATCATCAAGTGTATTTAGACACCGTTAAGGATACCCAACATCTATTAAACACCATCAATAGCCAATAATAACCATTAAACACTGTTAAGGGTATTCAATAGTTATTAAACACCATTAATAATCATTAACAACAATATTTGCTTCTTTCATCTTCTTAGGAAACAAAGAAACACAATATTTTCCTCTTTGTTCGTTTAAGGAAATAATAATTTTTTCCTCTTTTAAACCAATAAAAGTCAACAACGATTTATTCCTAAACTGAAAAAAATACTAACAATCCTTTTCTTTTCCGAACTCGATCAATTAATCATGCATAGTAGAAACCACAAATTTATTAGCAAAGACTTCCAATTATAATATTTAATTCATAAAAGCATGAATTAACCATATCATAATAAACCACAGATTGTACCACTAAAAATCTGTAACTGCACTCCTTTATTTGATTTCAATTTTTCCGTTACAACTTATTTAACTCCCCATGCTAGAATTACCGACACCAATCAATTAAATCAAACTTCTGAAAAATTTAATCCATTGATTAGTTTAATCCTTTATCTTTATGCTTAAATTAATTTACATGATGGATATATTAATTCACATGATTTTATATATATATATATATATATATAGCAGGGTTTTCACGTGACAACTTATAAGCAACTATAAAGGGGTGTCTATTCTCTCATATCCGAAATATGGTTCTGTCAACTAATTATTATTTCACGAATGTAATTTGTTATTATCCAATCCATTAGGAATAATTTGACTCATCATAGAGTCTCACCTGTTAATAGAATAAAATAATAAAACAAACTACACAGATCATAATAACTATATTAAGATTAAGAGTACAAGCGCATGTAATGGACCAGATATATTATTTATTGAAATTCAAACCTAAATATATCTCAATTTGGTTTGTTCAATACATACAAAATGTACTAACACAAGAAGTTGGAATTTTGTCATTCCCATAATTAAGATTGAATTATATTTAATCTTGTGCTACAATCATCAAAATGTTTTTTCAACTTCATCTTTGATTGTGGACATTTAATTTATAAATTATAATAACCGGAAATTTTAATCTTCCGCATATGATTTAAACAACTCCATACACAAAAATCGTCTACTATATAAGTAATGGACACACATATAAACACAATGATCTGTTTAAATAAAGACTTTATTGTAGTAATTAACATAAAATGTAAATATTTGCAAGCGATATATATAAACTGATAGAAATATACATACCACAGCCTCCATACCAAACAAAACTATAGCTATGAAGAGCAATTATCAAAACTATAGTTATAGACCTTATTATATCTATTATATTTGCTATTTCTAAAATTTTCTCTTTTTAAATCCTGCTTGATTTTAAAAATTCATCTAAGCTCTATTTTCTTAATAGAAACTTTCTGGATATTCAATGAGATATAAGATTTGTTAATTTCATGAATTTTAATTCCTTTTTTAATAACATCACTCCATTTAATAGGTTCTATATTTTTTGCACTTAAAAAACATCCCAACAGATTTTATCAACAACTCAAATATATTAGTATATTAGTAACAAATTACCAACAAATTGGTAACTAATTTGTTATTCAGAATTTAGCAACGAATTCCTAACGAAATACCTACTAAATTTTAGTAACTAAATGATTTAGTTGGTAAATATGGAGAGAAAAAATGGCGCCTAATTTAGCAACTTTCTACTAATGAATTATCAACAAATATCACCAACAAACACCTTAGCTTCCGTTGGTAATATTACTAATTCCGTTGGTAATATTACTAACTGGATATATATCGATTAGTAAATATAGTAGAAAAAAATAGAGTATAGTTTATTAACGGATAACGAATTACTAGCTAAGCATTTGCCAACAAAAGGATTTTGTAGCTAATTTTACCAACTAATTAGATATAAGTTGGTAAATTACCAACTAATTGTTATTTGTTGGTAACTTGCCAACAAATACTCAAACGGTTAGAATTTTTTGCCAATGGATCAATTTTGTGGTTTGTAAATTACTAACGTCTTAGAATCAGTTGGTATTTTACCAACTAGTCCATCTTTAGTTAGTAATTTTTATTAAAATCTAATAAAATAAAAAAAATCAATCAAAAAAGGAAAAAATATAATTAATAAAATTTTAATCTCGTTAATAAGTTTTTAATAACATTGATAAAATCAATTATGTTTTCCATAAACATAAAGTTTTGAAACTAACATAGTAACAGGATATCAATCTCCAAATTTTCTCTCAATTAGCTGGTATTCATTCCAAAATTTCTCCTTTTGCCTCCTCTATATTCTCTCAATTGAAAATTCATAAATCTTAGGAGTATTACATATGTATACTTTTTCAAAACCCCATTACTTAATTGACTCACTTCATTAAGTAAATTAATTTGTATTATAATATTTTATACATAAATCATATACTAAAACATGTTTGTACAAAATTTAGTAGAAAACTACGTAAATGAGTTTGTATACCATATTTTTTTACACAATTTATAGACTAATTATGTTTATATATAACATGGTATAAAAATTATGTAAACCATTTTGTATACCATATTCTATATCCATTCCACCCACCCACCCACCCACCCACACACACACACACTATAACAAGTTTGTATACCATATTTTATACACAATTCATACACTGATTTATATGTTTGTATATAACATGGTATAATTTTTTTAGGCAAATTAATTTGTATACCGTATTATATATCCATTCCATACAGAACATACATATATAACCTGATCAAAAAAAGAGTAAGTAAAATAGTTTGTATATCATATTATATACCAATTTTATACACTAATACATATTGTATATAGCATGATTTAAAAAAAGAAAACCAATCTGTATACCATATTTTTATAATGATTCCATATAATACATAGTTGAACAAAATCAATTTTCATAAAAATTAAATACACATGGCAATACTAAAAAAATCTTCTATTACTAAAATTATACAAATTTATACGTTAACTCATACACACACCCCTTAGAAACTAACTTTCTGGGCTTAAGGTATGAAATAAAACGACCCTCTGCAGACACTGCTGAACTACTCCTCCACTTTAAAATTGGCTCATTAG